AGGAAATAATTCCACCTCTTTATTTTTCACATGCTCTCGGATGAAATGATAGCGGGTGTCAATATGCTTACTTCCTTCATGACAAACTGGGTTGTTTACCAATGCAATTGCTGAGCGATTATCAACATAGATCTTGGTGGGTTTTTCTTGTGGAAATCCCAAATGCTTCAGCATGTTCCGTAACCATATTGCATGGCACACAGCTGAGTTGGCTGCAACATACTCAGCTTCGCAAGTCGATAATCTCATAATGGCTTGCTTCTTGGACAGCCATGTGAAGGCTGTATCTCCCATAAAGAAAGTAAATCCCGTAGTACTTTTCCGTTCATCCAAGTCATGTCCCCAGTCGCTATCTGAGTAGCCAACAAGACTGAAATTATCAGTTGGTTTATAGAATAGACCATCATTGACTGTACCTTTAATGTAGCAATGAATCCTCTTTGCTGCATAAAGGTGTGACTGATCTGGTGTTTCCATATATCTGCTAATCAGTCCTACTCCATAAAGTATGTCTGGCCTGGTGCAAGTAAGATAGCGAAGACTTCCAACTAAGCTCTTGAAAGAAGTTGGATCCACATCACTTGCCTTTGTACCTTTTTTGAGCTCTACTCCATTGTCTATAGGAGTGTTCACTGGATTGCAAGACAAACTGGGTTGTTTACCAATGCAATTGCTGAGCGATTATCAACATAGATCTCGGTGGGTTTTTCTTGTGGAAATCCCAAATGCTTCAACATGTTCCGTAACCATATTGCATGGCACACAGCTGAGTTGGCTGCAACATACTCAGCTTTGTAAGTCGATAATGTCACAATGGCTTGCTTCTTGGACAACCATGTGAAGGCTGTATCTCCCATAAAGAACGTAAATCCCGTAGTACTTTTCCATTCATCCAAGTCATGTCCCCAGTCGCTATCTGAGTAGCCAACAAGACTGAAATTATCAATTGGTTTATAGAATAGACCATCATTGACTGTACCTTTAATGTAGCAAAGAATCCTTTTTGCTGCATAAAGGTGTGACTGATCTGGTGTTTCCATATATCTGCTAATCAGTCCTACTCCATAAAGTATGTCTGGCCTGGTGCAAGTAAGATAGCGAAGACTTCCAACTAAGCTCTTGAAAGAAGTTGGATCCACATCACTTGCCTTTGTACCTTTTTTGAGCTCTACTCCATTGTCTATAGGAGTGTTCACTGGATTGCAATTTTCCATTCCATATCTCTTGAGAATTTTCTTGGCATAGCCACTTTGGGAAATAAAAATTCCATCTTTTCTTTGTGCCATTTCAATCCTGAGAAAATGAACCATCAATCCAATATCTGTCATTTCAAATTCTTGGAGCATGCTTCTTTTAAAGTATTTGAACATGGCTGGATTGTTTATGGTGAAAATTAGATCATCAACATAAAGACAAGCAAGCAACATGCTTCCATCAGCTTCCTTCTTCAAATATAGTGCGTACTCATATGGACATTTTTCAAAACCACTGTCATGAAAATACTGATCAATTCTAGTATTCCATGCACGCAGAGCTTGCTTCAATCCATAAAGTGTTTTCTTCAATTTGTACACTTTGTCTTCATGCCCATTCTGAACATACCCAAAGGTTGTTTAATATAGATTTCTTCTTCAAGGAAACCATTAAGAAATGCATATTTCACATCAAGTGATAAATCTGCCACTTGTTGTCACGCCCTCAAAATAAACCCATTACATATTTATCACTGATATGCAATATTTAAAGAAAACAATTCATTATCTCATTCATCAGAGTATTTCTAAATAAAATCATTACATGTAACATCAAATTAAATGCCCTACGGGCTTACATCTTTCCAAGTCAACACTTGGACACAAAAATATAAGTTCTAACTCAAATACAAGTAAAGCTCTAGGCTTGAATGTTTACATGTACTAACAAATCAAAACAACTAACTGAAGATAGTCTTCAAAATCCAAAAGTCAAATCCTTCCAAGCTAAGTCCTTGGAGGTAGCTTATCATCTGAACCTGAAAATGATGTTCCCATATAGGGTGAGCCACAACCCAGTAGAAATATACTAAACCAAATATAAGCATTGAATAAAGCAATAGCATTCAATAGATGGTTAACCAAGATAATCAATTGTACCATTATACAGTCTCATGACACCAATGTCTAAGACACATTTCACTTTCCATTATTATCAACATAGCTCAGAACCTAGCCAAACTTACAACAGTGAACTATATATCATATTCACATTACTATCAATATCAACAAAGCAAATGAGACTCAGGCTCATATCAAAACACTTCATACTTCCCGTTTGATACACATTTTAGTGCTGTATCAATAACATGTAAAACACTTCAATATAATAAGCACACATAATAGTGATGCTAATGGAGTCCATCCCCTATCTCCTCCCAAACAAAATTCGGTTTAGAGGTCCATCCCCTATCTTCCCCTAAACGGTGGAGTACATCCCCTATCTCCTCCCAAACAATATGCATATGCAATGCTCAATCAATACATGTATTTTCTGTATTAATTCAATAGTCTAAATTTATGACTTAAACAAATTGATTAGTTTCAATTTTCCCTAATCCACATGCAATGTCTACAATTCAATAGGCGAGTGATTTAAATTATCCAACTACACCATTTAGTCAATGAATTCCCCAATTTCATGAATTTAACCAAATTCCCCAATTTCCTTAAATTAATTATACAAATTAATTTATTAATACAACTAGGGTTTTTCCCAAAATTACCAAAGTACTCCCAACATATCAAAATACCAAAACTTAGAACAAAACTTATAAGATGGAGTAGGAAATCCCTACCTCGAAGAAAATAACCCGAATGGAGAAGATGACGAAAAACCAAAGTGCTCCAAACCCAAGATTGTTCAGATTAAACGGAAGCCCTCGACCCACTCTATCTTTTTAACAAAGGACTTAGGGTAGAAATACACTCTAAGTAGATCAAACCAATGAGAGAAGGTGTGTAGGGAGAGGGAGAAGACGGTTCTAGGGTTTTAGAATCAAAAGGGAGATGAAAAATGATCCAGAAAGTCGGGTCTCGGATTTTTATAACAGTCGCCCCGCTCGAGCGTGGAAACCCCCGCTCGAGCGCCACTCACAGACTCCCGCTGGAGCGGCCAAACTCCCGCTCGAGCGGCGGATGCACACTCCCAGAAGTTTTTTGCAGACAGGTCCTCGCTCGAGCGCCCAACTCCCCGCTCGAGCGTCACTCACAACCTCCCGCTCGAGCGGCCAATTCCCCGCTCAAGCGTCCAACTCTACACAGGACATACTGGATGGGTGTATTCCCTGCTCAAGCGCCCAAACCCCCGCTCGAGCGGACAAGCCAAAATCTGGGCAACTAGACTTGGTTCCTAAGCTCAACCAACCTGCTCCAAATCTTCCCAACACAACCCAAGACTCAATATAAGGATTTAAAGGGTGCAAAGAACATACTCTCAACAACCAGCTCCACGGAACCTAAGTCCGGATATAACAAGTAAAGAAAAAGGAAACCGGGATCGCTATACTTGTGCTGGGCAGCCAAAGAAATCATTAGCCTGATAGTCTCTAATCATCAAACACATCTCCATAATCAATTCCAGCTCTCTACTGGTAACCTTTTGCTACTAATCTTGCCTTGTAGCGTTGCACTTCACCTTGTGCATTCCTCTTTGTCTTGTATACCCATTTCACTCCAAATGGGTTTGTGCCCCTCTAGTAGACTGGTAAGCTTCCATGTGTCATTTTTCTCAATGGCATGAATTTCTTCGTCCATTGCTTTCTTCCATTTATCTTCTTGGATGGCTTCTGAGAAGGTAAGTGGATCACTATCTGCGAGTAGGCAGAACAAATTCAGATCTGCTTCTTCTGTAGGTTTATATATCTCCTATAAATTTCTCATTGGTCTTGGTTGTTTGAAAAAACTATCATCTGATGATGCTGATGATGATGATGATGCAACACTTCTGTGAGAAACTGGCAATCTAGGTGCCGGTATTCTATGTAGAGGAGTTTATGGCTCATCTTGAACTTCTCTTGTAATTTCAACCGGAGCTTTTGATGCTTCATCTTCAAGAATGAGTTCTGCATCTTTAACAACTTCATCTTGATTCTAGTTCCAAGCTTCTTCTTCTTCAAATATCACATCTCTACTCATGATTACCTTTCTGGTAATGGGAGTATATAACTTGTATCCCATTGTTCTGTCTCCATATTCAACAAGGACAGATTTTTCTCCTTTATCATCGAGCTTGGTTCTTCTTGTTCCTGGAATCTTGGTGTACCCAACACACCCAAATATTCTGAGATGGTTGACACTTGGCTTATGTGAACTCCAAGCTTCTTTTGGAGTCATCGAATGAAGGCTCCTAGTTGGACATCTGTTCAATAGATACACAACACATAATACGGCTTCAGTCCAAAATTGTTTGGGTAGTCCCTTTCCTTTCAACATGCTGCTTTCCATATCTAAGATTGTACAATTCTTCTTTTCAGCAACACCATTCAGCTATGGTGCATAGGATGGTGTTGTTTGTTGCTTGATTCCATGCTCTTTGCAATAATTCTCGAAAGCATTTGATGTATATTCTCCACCTTGATCTGATCGCAATGTCTTGATGTAGTAGCCACTTTGCTTCTCTACAAAAGCTTTGAATTCTTTGAAGATACTAAACACCTCCGACTTTCTTTTAAGAAAATACACCCATATCTTCCGGTTATAATCATTAATGAAGGTGAGAAAATATTTATTCTGTCCATTTGACATTGGCTTCAATGGACCACAGACATCAATGTGCACTAGCTCCAGCGGCTTTGTTGCTCTCCACTTCACTTCTTTGGCAAAGATAGTTCTGTGATCCTTGCCAAGAATGCAACTTTCACAGGCCTCATTAATATGGACAATATGAGGGAACCCTTTCACCATATTCTTGCTTGACAACAGCTTCAAGCTTCCAAAGTTAAGATGTCCAAAACTCAAATGCCATAGCTAGTCTTTGTCTTTGATAATGGCACTTAAACACTTCGCAACATCATGTTGGATGTTCAATGCAAACATCTGATTCTTGGACATTCTCACTCGAGCGATCAAATTACCATGATTGTCTTTGATGGTAAGATGACAATCTTTCATGCTGATGTCATATCCTTTCTCTAGGAGTTGTCCCATACTCAAAATGTTATTCTTCATGGCAGGAACATAATAAACACTGGAGATGTAATCATGATCTCCATTCTTGAGCTTGATCAGAATATTACCTCTTCCTTTCACTGGAGTCTTTGAAGAATCACCAAATGAGACTTGTGCTTGTACAGTCTCGTCAAGCTCAACGAACGACTCTCTTTTACCACACATGTGATTATTGGCTCCCAAATCTAGATACCAAACATTGTTTTGGTTTTCAGTGTCTCTATGGTGGACAAACAGGACTATAGGACCAACTTTGTTTGTTTCTTGCTCGAAAAAATTTGCTTGCTCTCTAGGTTCTATTGTTGCTCTACTTCTGTATTCATTGTTGTAATGCCCAAACTTATGGCACTGGTAGCACTGAACATTGCTTTTGTCAACTCCTGTTCAGTTGTTGTAACCACCTCCTCTACCTTTTGCTCTTCCTCTTAGAGCAAAGTGTGGTTGACTTCTTCCTCCTATGGCTGGACCTCTTCCTTGAAAACTAGAACTTCGATTATTGTAACCACGACCTTTTCCTCGGCTTCTTTGTGATATTCCCCCTTGCTCATTTCTGTCATCTCTGAAAAACAACTTTGATTGAAGAGCTTGCTCTAAAGAACTTGAGGGGGTCTTCTTGTTGATCCTTTGTTCATGAATCTCAAGTGTGCCCATTAGCTTATCAGTGGTCATGGCATTGAGATCCTTGGATTCTTCTATTGCTATAACCACGTGCTCAAACTTGGGACTAATTGATCGTTGAATCTTCTCTAACACTTGAAGAGATTTCATCTTCTCTCCATCTCTTCTCATCTAGTTAACAATGGTCAATGTTCTGTTAAAGTACTCAGAAATTGACTCATTCTCATTCATGTGCAACATTTCGAGTTCGCCACGTAACACCTGGAGTCAAACTCTGATTGTCTTCTCAATTCCACGGTGTGAATTGCGAAGAATACTCCATGCCTCTTTAGAGGTTGTTGCTCCTGAAATCTTCTCAAAGCTTTCCTCATCAATGCCTTGATAGAGTAGATACAAGGCCTTTTTATCTCTCTTCCTTGAATCTTTTAATGTCGTCTTCTGAGCTTCATTTAAATTTCCTTCATCTTTGAGAGTAGCTAGCTCGTCATATCCTCGATCCACTAACTCCCACAAATCTTGTGAGGCTAGTAGGACTTACATTTGAATACTCTAATTTTCATAGTTCTCCTTGTTGAGTTTTGGAAACTTGGGTTGAAAGAAGTTGTTTGTGTTGGCCATTGGTTGTCTTTAAAAAACTAAAAATTTTCAAGATAGAATTTACAAATTCTGACCATACAGATGTGTTCGGAATATTCCAAATAATTGGAAAGCTATGATAACCCTGCCCTGTACTATGTTAATTAATCATGCTTATGTTTGTAATTATGTGCTTAATCCGAATTTGGGTGTTAATTGCATGATTATATGTGGTTTTGGATTTGTATCTGTTCACCGTAGGAAAATCTATTAGAATCTGTGCTTTGAACTAAAAATTGAAGGCCTTATTGGCCACAGAAACCGGAATTGACTATGCCATTGTGGTTGGCGTAATTTTATAGCCTATGGTGAAATTTAATTAGAAATTGGTTTGGATCAAAATAATTAGATTAAACTAATTGAATTGGGTATAATTAATTAGCCTTAATCAAGTCTAATTAGATGAGCCTATAAATAGGCCCTTATACACTTAAACTCACCATATGTTTGAGCTTAAAATCTGAATTTTCTCTCTAGAGAGAGAGTGTGTCGATTCTAAAGAGAGAAAGAGGGAGAATTGTGCATTTTGACTTAAAGATTGTGGATTGGGAAGCTACACTCAAGAATTAACAAGAATTTGTGAAGATTGAAGCTCCTATGTGAGTAAATTTATGAGTTTGAGTTTGTGATTTTGTGAATTCAAGGTTAAATGGTAATCAAGAACACGAATGGTGTTGATTATGATGAAATTGAAGTTTATATGCACATGCATGCATAGAATTGCCATGAAATTGCATAATCAAGCATGTAAGAAGTTGAATATTAGAAATTAAGTGTTGAATCATACATGCAAGCATAGTTTTGTTGAGTTTCATGGTCATAAGCAAAATTTGTACCATTTGGAATAGAAATGGAGTCAAGAATTGACATGCATGCATGATTGATGAAGATATGAAGTTTAAATGCATGAATTTAATGTATTGGAAGTAAGTTTGGTATAATTTGGGTTTGCATGTGATTGATTCATAAGATTTGAGCTTCATAATGTAGTAAATTGGTGTTTGTAGCATGTTAGTAGTTGTATATGAGAGTTATGGGTTATAAAATGCAAGCTATGTTAATTTGAATGCAAGTTTGAAGCTCAAACTGGTTGCTGGAAATTCCAGAATTCGGCATGTCCGCTTGAGCGAGGAAAGCGCCGCTCGAGCGTGAAGTGCTAGTTCCCAGAACTTTTGCAGACATGGACGTCCGCTCGAGTGGAGAGATTCACGCTCGAGCGGGGAGTCATGTAGTTTGACTCTCAGCTCGAGCGTCTCAAGCGTGTCGAGCGTCCGAAGTCATGCTCGAGCGTAAAAATGAGGCAACCAGTATTTTTGCAGACCCAATGGGTCCTCTCAAGTGGCTAAAACCACGCTCGAGTGGGGAGCCCTATTTCAGAAAGTTTGTAAAGATGTTTTGTGTTTCATTTTCCGTTCTCTTCTATTTCTGAGCACTCTTAGGCATGCATTGAACATTGTAAATGGATTAAGAAGATAATAAAGAGGCTGAAGAAGAATGCATAAGTTAAGAACGGATTAAATCGTTTGTGACCCATATGTGTTATACAATGTGTAGGGTCGAGCTCAAGGGCAAATCCATCGGCAAAACACTGTGAGTAATATCTTAGTAAAGATATTTTCAAATATGTTACTTTTCAAATGCTACTTCTGTATAAGGTTCATGGATTTGTTGATTTGAAATATGAATGAGTATTCTATGTGCCTAATTTTGTATAAGGCCGTTTGACACGTTTAATATATATGAATTGGGCCAAAGGCCCTTTGCCATTTCCTGTTGATATGTTTTATATATCTGAATTGGGCCTAAGGCCGTTTGACATGAACGATTGGGCCAAAGGCCGTCAGACATGAATGATTGGGCCAAAGGTCGTCGGACATGAACGATTAAGCCAACGGCCGTCGGACATGAACGATTGGGCCGTCGGACATGAACGATTGGGCCAAAGGCCGTCGGACATGAACGATTGGGCCAAAGGCCGTCGGACATGAACGATTGGGCCAAAGGCCATCGGATATGAACGATTAGGCGAAAGGCCATTGGATATGTTTGAATACCGTGTTGGGCCAAAGGCCGTTTGAATGAAAAGGATCATGATCATGAATATGAAATACGCATGGATATGAATATAAAAAGAATGGACCCGAGGCCGTTCGATACGCCTGATATATTTGAATTGGGCCCGAGGCCGTTTAACATGTTTGAATCGGACCAAAGGTCGTTTTGAATAAAGAGTTGGCTCGACCAAAGGTCGTTTCGTATAGATGAACCCAAGGTCGTATTGTTTTATATAAGAATTGGACCTGAGGCCGTTTTGCATATGGATATGATGTGTTGGACCTAAGGTCGCTTTGCTTTGTTGAGATTCATAAATCTGCTGTAAATGAGAATAGTGGTTCAAATGTGTATATTATAAGTATGATTCATTTATGAACGAACCCCATTCATTAACCTCTTTATTTTGATATTATTCACTGGCGTTAGCTAACTCTTATCTATATGAATGTAGGTGAGTAAAGGGACGTTCAACCCTAGCCTTAATGGAATTTAAGAAAGGAACCCGAGTTTTGTGAAGTTAGCCCAGGTGCCTCACACAAGAGGCTTTGTTTATGATCTTTTGTATTTCTTTTGCTACTTCTATTGGTCATGATAGACCATTTATGTGTATAAGCTTTTGGCATGGCTGACTATGTGTTTGAATGATCCTGGGTATACAAGATATTAACTACTGATATGTGGTATGAGTTATTATTAAGTATATGTGAAATGTTTTGATATGCCATGTAAGCATAGCTCATTGGACAAAATTTTTAAGCTTGCTTCCGTTTGGCCTCTTAACTCTGATGGAATATCTTTTGTTTTGGTTTGAGGCCGTAGGTAATCCCTTGATTACTGGCCGGTTATGACCTTAATCCATAGGGGCGGGTTCCGATCATGACAGAGTGGTATCAGAGCACAAGTTAATAACTCACACACTTGTCCAAATGAGCCATAAGGTGTCTAGAAAAGACTTAAGGTGCATCCATATAATAAGTACATGATGTAAGCATTGAGAACATGTGATTATATGAGATATGAATTGTTGCACTGATGTGTACAACAAGTTTTGTTTTGTTATAATGCACGTACATGAACATGCGAATCATGAAAAGTTGTTTATGTGCATTCGATTCTGCAAATGGATGTCTATGTGGAATATGAATATGGTTTAAGTGTATAATTACTTAGTAAGTGTTCAGCACACGATATCTGATAAGTATGCAATCATCTGTTATGTATGTGATTAATTGTGTCTTGACGACACGTAAAATGAGAATATAACAATGTGCCTATGTGCAAATGTACTTATGTGTTTCTATGTTTATTTCTATATTGAGCATTCCAGTATTTGGCATGGCTTAATAAGAGTTTGGGCAGAACATGGATAAAGTAAGGGCATACAAGTTGGCAGACTCTTTCACAGCCCGACTTGATAGACTGGAAAGAATAGTACAAGAAATGACAGAGATCTTAAGACAATAACATCAGTTGTCGCTACGGCAAGAACCTTTGCCACCACTAGCGCAAGAGCATCAAGTGAATGTGTTGGAAGTCACAAAATATGTTGAGGTGCTAGACCGAACACTGATGATTGAAGCTAACATGAACCGATCTTCTGAATGGAAAAGCAAGAGACAAGGCTTTTTCTCAAAGAAGAGGTCATTTAAAAAGCAAAATATGGGATCATCGCGCACTTCAAACTCTACAAGGAATACAGCACCGACATGTAATGAATGTGGTAAAAAACACAGAGGAGTTTGTTATTGAATTTCTGGGGCTTGTTATAGGTGTGGTAAAATGGACCATTTGGTAGGGACTGTCCTCGGACTGAACAAAATGTGAATAGATCCTTTGCCTCAGTTGGATTCGTACCAATAGTAAGAATTGCTAATCAAGATAGAGTAATTGCACTCGTCCCAGAAAGCACTCAGAATACTGTGACCATTATCCCAAGTATTTATATTGTTTATATGTCCGAAGTCACGCTCGAGCATAAAAATGGGGCAACCAGTATTTTTGCAGACCTAATGGGCCCGCTCGAGCGGAGAGCCCTGTTTCAGAAAGTTTGTAAAGATGTTTTGTGTTTCATTTTCCGTTCTCTTCCATTTATGAGCACTCTTAGGCATGCATTGGACATTATAAATGGATTAAGAAGATAATAAAGAGGCCTAAGAGGAATGCATAAGTTCAGAACGGATTGAATCGTTTGTGACCCATATGTGTTATACAATGTGTAGGGTCGAGCTCAAGGGCAAATCCACCGACAGAACATTGTGAGTAATTTCTTAGTAAAGATATTTTCAAGTATGTTACTTTTCGAATGCTACTTCTATTTAAGCTTCATGGATTTGTTAATTTGAAATATGAATGAGTATTCTATGTGCCTAATTTTGTATAAGGCCGTTTGATATGTTTAATATATTTGAATTGGGCCAAAGGTCGTTTTTCGTTTGCCGTTTGCCATTGATATGTTTGATATATCTGAATTGGGCCTAAGG